CGACATGGACGTGCCTTCCCAGGAGCCTGCAAAAGAGACTGGGACAACAAAGTCAGCATCCAGAGTGGAGCTATAATCGCTTCCCCCTAACATTAACCCCCCCCCTAATATAAAAACTGCCGGCCCCCGGAATTTCGCGGGTTCGGGCCCCGCATTCAATTTAAAGGGTGCAACATTAGGGGGGGTGGCAGATCTGTATGTGTTTTAATTGAAGGAAGACTACCGTAATACTAAAGACACCAGAGCTTTAGGGTTTAAGGGTTTAGGGCTCAGGGCTTTAACTATAGAGGCAAAGATTAATTACAGCAGTACTAATTAAGGAGACACGAGAGCTTTAGGGTTTAAGGGTTTAGGGCTCAGGGCTAAAGCTTTAGGGCTGTTTATGGCTTAGAGCTTTCGGGCTCTAGCTGTCTGACTGTCTGGCTGCCTCATTACTAATTAATTGCTGTCACTCCGACTCATACCCGCAGGACCCGAAACCCCCCCTAATATAAAAACTAACCTCCGGTATCCAGTTTTTATATTAGGGGGGGGGGGAGGGGGGGGGCGTTTAATATTAGGGGGAAGGGATTAGTGGCTGTACGATCTACAGGCGCACTCTTGGCTCCCAATTGCCTAGCATAGGCACTTTTTCAACTACAGTTCTACCACAATGTAGCCTATAGAGCTACCAGGTAGAAGCCCGACATTCCTAAGCGCATCTGTTGCAGTAGTGCAACACGCTTGCGCCGCATGCTAGGAGCCATACTGCTCCAGTATTGCCGAAACCTTTCTTGCATCTTCTTGGACCCCACAAGAGTATAGTGTATGTATCGTCGTAAGTAAGCGTGGTCGTGTCTTGATTTCAAGCTTGACTGGAGACCTCGAAGGCAGCGCACATTGCCGGGGCATCATTGCAAGGAAGTCAAGATGATGTAACTGTGTAAACATGGCAATGGCATGCAGATGAAGTTTATGCAATGATGCCGAGGAAGTCAACACATCGCAACGGAATCAAGACATCTGAGTAGTTACGGGAGGGTATTGACTGCAACGACATTATATAAGGTGAGAGAAACTTGAGTCCATTGGGATCTCTTCGTGGGACTCAGCAAATAATATTGTCTTTGGACATCGATCATGGCTAGCGGCTAGGCACTTCCACGAGGCGTTGCTGGTGGGGATCATGCCATGATATGAAAAGGTATGATGAGAGGAAGTTTGCGTGGACAGCTTCGAACATTCTACGAAGCAACAGGGAACTTGAGTTGAACACGAGAAAACTACTCAGTGCTAAGCCGTTGCCACGAGAGTTAGTCCAAGGAAATCGGAGCGTAATATTTGCAATGATCGTGACACGCAATAAGCCGGAGGAACGAAGTGGCTACGACGAAATGAAGATTTCCAACCCTGCAACTGAATCCAAGTTGGGAGGGTGATCATTGCACGGGAAATGAAGACGAAATAAGCCAGAGCGAGTCAGACGAGTCAGAGCGCAACAAGTTTTAAGGTGCAAGCGATCGGAGCGTAAGCAACCTGACGAAAATTGGACATAAGCTGTTCCGAGGTAGCAACTAATCACTGCAACGTCTTTCCAGTTAAGGCAGAAGGAACTTGTTTGGTTTGGACACCGCGCCTGATAATGGCAACCAGATTGAAAACGAAATGCACGAGCATAAACATGAGTTTAAGTGTACTCATTGCCGAAAGGAAGTTAGAACATGAGCACAGCACCCAGTTGATAGCTGGCACATGCAAGCCACTGCCACAGAAGTGAAGCAAATTAAACCAGAGAACTCAGAAAAGCGCAATGATTACGGTAGCAAATCAGAACCCTCCAAAGCAACATCCAACGGCGATGATTGCACGACAAAATACAGCCCTCCAAAAATGACAAAACTGCTTGGCTTGCTGTGAATATCCTTGAGAAGGGACGTCAATTTCCAACAGAACGGGTGGGACAACACTTCGTAATCTGGCCAAGTTTTAATCAGTCGTAAATCAGTGTCCGCGATCGGCTTCACATGTGCAGGTGCAAACACACGAAGGCATGCAAGCTGCTGCGAGTCGCGGAGAACCAGTCAGAAACCACAGAGATTGGCATTGGAAGTTTCGTTGGCCTTAAACCCTAAAGGGAACTCCAGAAAGTTGGAATATGGATTAATGGTAGGATCCCCTATAATTTACATTCAAGGGGTTAGGATAATGATATTCCAACTTTCTGGCTTCTACTGTAAACCCGTAAGACCGTAAACCTCCGAAGCCTTAGACCCCTCCAGCAGAAAGAAAACTCAACCCTCTTCGTGGGGCCCATGAAAATTGGCCTTGCCGGTTCTCGAAGTCAAGTTTTTTAAGGCAGATGCACCACCCGCGGTCCTACAACGGACCCCAGACATCATGTAGGGGTCGGAAGAACTGGCTAACTACGGCTGGTGATAAAATCATGCATTACCAATAATAAGGAATATACCATATTTCCCATACCGTAGGGTCCTTAATGTAATGCAGGATTTATACCATCAGAAGTAGCGATACCTCTAATAAGACCTGCAATCTAGAACCCCTCAAGGACTTCCCTGCCAGGAAACCCATAAACCCCTTTTGCAAGTACCCAGACCCCCGGGGAGGATCTAGAAAGTAAATCCCCTAATTTGGGGCCCTATACTACTAAGGGTACTTTATAGGAACCCCCATGAAGGGGTCTACTTTTAGGATCCTCCCTGGGTGTCCGGGTATTGATGATGCTTAGACTGAAAAGACTGCATCCGACGGCCCTGCAGCCCCAAAACACAGCTTAACCCAGACCTGCAGTCCTAGAGAGGTTTATCAAGGGTCCAAAGGACCCAATAAGAAGGTACTCGGTTTTAGGATAGTAGTTATGTAGGTTAGGATTTCGGAGAGTATATGATTATTGGGTACTTTGGGCCCTTAAGGTTTTTGGAGGATAAGCTTAGTAGCCGAGTGGATTTTTCACTTCTTGGGGATGGTATTACCCGGTATAAAACTGAAAGTGTACACTTTTTGGAATGTAACTAGGATGCCCAGTAGTACCCTTATTCCTTTTTTGTAGTCATAGGTTACTTATAAGGTTACCCAACTCTTAGGTTACTGGGCATCCTAGATAAGGTTTAGGGTTCAGGCTCTAATAAAGCTTACCTGAAGCCTCAAAAAAGTTTCCCAGATACTCCAATTTCCCTTATTTAAGGAATAGACCTTAAATCATATTAGGGGTCCTACTTTACTTTAAGGTATACCCCTTACTTAAGGGATATTGGAGTCTCTGGGTTGATGATAAGGAGCCCTAAGCATTTTGATTTCCAGAGTTTTGGGCGGCCCTCAGAACCGACACATCGAGATCCCCGGGAGGATCTAGAAAGTAAATCTCTTAATTTGGGGCCCTATACTACTAAGGGTACTTTCTAGGAACCCCCATTAAAGGGATCTACTTTTTTGGATCCTCCCGGGGGTCTGGGTTCTTGTAATAATCAACATTTGTTAACTCTTTATCAAGGGTTTTAACTGAAGATACCATAGCAAGGAAGCCACATGTTTTTTGGCTATGGATTCCCATTATGGTAACTTAAAAATTGACCCCCAAACCCTTAAAGGAGCCCTGATAGATCCCTATTATGGTAGCTTAGATTAACTCCTTCAACAAAACCTCAGCATTTTCGCCGACGGGCCCAAGCCTCGGCTAAGTGGACTGCGTTTTTCCCTGCGTTTGCCGTGGCTTCAAGATCAGAGAGCCCGTGGCGCAATAACCGGTTTAGGGTGTAGGGTTTAGGCCCGCAATTGAGGATTATACCGTAAACTCTCATATTAATTAAGGCTCTTACCGGTTTGCTGAAATCTCTAAGCGCCACCTGTAGCTCGTATTGTAACGCCCTGAAGAAAGCCGGCACCTTGGGCTCTCCGGTGACTTCGAGAGTCTTTGAAGGTCTTGGAGTGTCGCCACGGCTTTCGGAGAGCACTTGAAAGAATGCAGAGCGCCGACATTGCTCGCGGGGTTTAAGGGGGTTAGGGCTTACATGTCTTCAATCAGAATAAGTCCTTCCGTTGTTATTCTGATGAAAGGCATACTTGCCAATCATGGCAAGTTGACTTTGCTGGGTGCCGTTGCCAGTTCCTAAACCCTAAACCCCAAAACCCCAAACCCGAAACCCCTAAACCCTAAACCCTAAACCCCTAAAGCCTAAACCCCGAACCCTAAACCCTAAACCCCAAAACCCCAAACCCGAAACCCCTAAACCCCTAAAGCCTAAACCCCGAACCCTAAACCCTAAACAGCTTCAGGGCGGGAGCCCCTTGTGTGGTATACCGTCTTAACGCTCGGACTAAACCCCCTTAAGAATGCCCTAAAGCCTTGGAGCTCAAGCATAAGCCCTGGTGTCACGGGTTTCCGGTGGGGGTGACGATGCAGGTGTAAGACTTTTCTCGACTTTCTAGGGTAGGGTTTAGGGCTTTAGGGTTTGGGGGTTTAGGGTTTGGGGGTTTATTCCATTTCTCTCGAAGTCTGTATGGTTCAGGGCGTACGGGTTTGTTCTGCCTTTGTCCTGGTGCTCCGGCTAGAATGGAACTTGCCTTTGACAAAGTATATACCCAGCGATCTACTGACCAGTTCAACTAATAATATAGGGCCTTAATATTAGAATAGGGTTTTGGAGCACATTATACTAAAGATATACGAAATAAAACCCCAAGATAGTATAGGTAATTGTTTAGGCGAATAGACCCTAAACCCCGTAGATCACTTAACGGATCCCTTATAGTACCCTTTAAAGGAACCCTGTATTATCGTAGAGAAATGCAATCATGTAGGCCCCTATAGTAGAAACTTCAACCTAATCACATGGCATCCCAATCAAAGGCCTAAAGCCTCATGCCAAACATTTTGCCAAATCCTAAAGCCCTAAACTCCTAAGCCCTAAACCCGAGTCCCTAAAACCCCTAAGCCCCTAAACCCCTAAGCCCCCTAAGCCCTAAACTCCTAAAGCTTCATGCCTCCTGAGCCCCTCGCTCAGAGCGCGATCATGCTGATCAAGATCTTACGCCTTGCACGCGTTTGCAGGCCAAGGGTGCCAGGGTTCCGATTCAGGGCTTTTGGGTTTCAGGGTAATCCATTGTAGTTTTTGCTTGGTAGCTTGTGTTTACTCTTGGATCCTGCGGAATTTTCGACTTGCCTTCCCAAAAAAGAAGTACAACGGTGACGTGGGGAGCGCTGAAAAGGCTCAAGTGGTTCGGGTATTCATTCCGGGCTTCGGGAGTTACTCTGTGACTGGATTTCAGCTGCATAATTCCCTTCTTCGTATTGTCTGATAGAGCTAGCTCTTCATTACTTTGGGGTCCTCAAACTGGGATTTAGTTGAAAGCCCTAAACCCTAAATTCGTAGTCAAGAGCGCTCCCGAGTTTGTCCAAGGGGTTCTAACTCTTCGTTTACCAAATATCCTTCAGTTCTACGAAATTACTTCATAGCTAGTTGGCTGTAATAAGGAATATGCCTTGATTACGTGGAATTGGGCTTTTTGACCCACCGAGACTCCTAACCCCACATCCTGCACCCGACGCCCCAGATCTCAAACCGTCTCAAATGCTTGTGTAAACTTGAAGAAAGTCAAAGAGTCCCTGCACAATGATTCGAAATGCAGTGTACAACCCCATATGAGCCTGTGAAAGAAACCGTGTGATGCCCGCTGAAATCCCTTGTGACACACGAGACTTCTCCGGCAAGCTCTAAAGCCCCAAGCCTTAAATCCTGAAGTTGCCCGTGGACCGACCTACCACACAAGTCCGGATGAACCCCGAACTCTAAACCCAATTAAACAAGGAACCCTGAACCCCTAACCCCAGGATCATCCGTGTGATGCGCTTCGGTGCAGTGCGTGAGCTCAGAGCAGCCGGGATAGCAAGACAAGTGAACCGGAAAACCTTGAGCCCTACCTTAGCGTCTTTCTGATATATATATATATATATATATATATATATATGTGTGTGTGTGTGTGTGTAAATAGATTTATATACATATATATATATATATATATATATATTTATGTATGTATATATATATATATATATATATTCGCAATCTGAAACCAGTATCTTATTCTTTTGGGGGGAGTCTAAGGGTGCGGAACCCTAACCCTCCAGAGGTTCAGGATTTTTATGTTGAAAAATTGTATTTACATCTTGGTGCCAAGGCTCCTTCATCCTAAACCTTTCAGAGGTTCAGGCTGTTGCAGGCTTAAGGGAAAAAGGCTTCAGGTTGTGAAGGTTCATTATTATCCTAAACCGTGCACCCTAAACCCTATAAACTGTAAAAATAATGAACACCGAAATGACAACTATGAACTTGAGGGTGAACTGGGCTTTTACCCCCATTGCCAAAGTACGCAAATAAAGACTAACTGGTAGAGCCCTTATCAACCCCGCCTTAGACCAGTTTCAAGCTTTGTCCAGGTAATCATCCTCGGAGTTCTCAGCGGCATCCGGGTGCTCTTCTGGGCGATTGCTACCAGCTGCGAAAGGTTTAGGGTTTAGGGTTTTGGTTTTAGGGTTTCGGGTTTAAGGTTTAGGGTTTAGGGGTTTAGGGTTGTGCAAGGTTTGCGTGCTTCTGTATAGATCTAGTTCGACAAGCCCTCATTTGCACAAAGCAAAGCCATAGCGACTTTGGGGAAGGGTTGTTGTAAGCCGAGGTCCTTCCCTGGATCACCCTTTCAACAGTACTTAAACCCCTACGAGCCAATTTGCTGTACGTACTGTTTAGCACTGACTTGTGGGCGTCGTTCTCGGCGGCAGCTTTCTGCAGTCGTATTAGAGGTTTTAGGGCTTTTTGCTTAGAGCGGGAGGTCTTGAATGCACAAATACTCGGGGGTTTAGTTTGTAACTAAAGAATAATTACGAGGCGTCTTGGTTGGAGGGGGTTCTGATACGATGAACTCCGACTCTGTATTTACACGATAATGCTGCAGGTCTGGTTCAGGCCCCTAAATGTCTCCACTTTGATAAAAAAGGGCATACCTTAACCTAAAATAACCTACCTTTGTAGGGACTTATATAAAGAAATCATATTAAGGGGCCCGAAGAAAGGTAGGTTATTTAGGGTTAAGGTATAGAAGGTCATCGAATTTCCCACAATCCGGTGTCAAGAAGCCCGGAAAATGAAGCTTACATTGAGGATTTCGTAATGTCGGTGGTTGCACATAGGACTCCAGAAAATGTTGGCAGGTACATGATTGCAGTGTGGATATGGCGGGCAGTAGAAGTATGTACCTTCCCCCTGGTTACCGGATAACTTGCGCCCGTTTTTTTTGCGATGAGGTTGTTTTGCATAATGTAGGAACCTGATTAAGAAACCCGGGCCTATAGCCCAAAATAACAGGGCTCATATAAAGAACCCTAATAAAGGCCCAAGGTTTCTTAATCAGGTTCCTGCATTGATACTAGCCCACCCCCCCCCACCCCTTCCGAACAAAAGGTAGCTCTCACTGAAAAGGCCCCATGTGGGCTGCTAGGCAAACCCACAAGTCAGGTTCTCCTCTTCTTCACGGCACCTTGGCTGTTTGTGGAACGACGGGCGTTGGGAAAGTTTGGGGCGAATATACTGCTGGGTGCTAGTTATTAGCAATAAGGAGTTTAATTTAAGTTACCATAGTATGGAAACCATATAGTTTGTTGTAAGCCCCTTTTATGGTAACTTACACTAGTTCAATTCTGAACAAGAACCTCCAAGAACCAGTAAATCGTGTATTGATATCCTCGGCTTCCTGCTGCTTCACATCGGGAACGGGGCCTTTTGAGAACTCCAATGTTTGCGTAGTTGAGTGTGCAGCCTGTGATGCAGTTCGGACTAATGCTGCATCAGACCCTCCAACTGTAGTGCATCGTTGAAAGGTCTACATCATCGGCGTGTCGGCACGCTTGCTCATCACAGACGACCCTGCCTTAGAGAACAGTTGTGTTTTCGACCTTGGATGCTTACGCATCATTTCGCTCAGGCAGAGCAGTTTCCCGAGTTTTCCTCGGTTGACGCCTCCATGTTGACTTTCTTCCGCGCCTTCGGCACGCAGTGGGTAGTGGGAGCTATGCTTGTCTTTGATTTGGTGTAAGTCTGCAGAGGCTGCACGCAGGTGGGATGAAGGCCAGTGGCTTCGTAAGTAGACCCTTGATTAGCAAACCTGTAACGGCTGAAATGTTTGGATCATATTGGATCCCTCTTACAATCCTCGTCGGATAGGGGCACATGTGAGCGGGGTCAACGTTATGAGAGACCCGCTCATGCTACAAAATACCAGCAGCAAGGACCAGTGGCCAGAAAAAGAGGGAGATTGAGAATGACATAGCGATAGAAAAAGGGAAGAAATGGCGGGAGGTCCCGTGATAACATATCTTCTTCTCTTGCAGTCGGGGTTACACCTGCCAAAGAAGGCGGCTATAACTACTAGATACTGCAAGTGAAATGCTGGCTTTGCATACGCCCGCTGAACGAGTAGGTAACCCTCGAGCCCCAAAGCCCTAGCTACCTGATCTGCAACCAGCAAGGGTTGACTCTCGAACTATACCTATAGTCTCCATTGTAGTTCCCTTTTTGGGGTTACCTTTCAGGATCCCTAATATTCAAAAGGTTAAACCAATCAAGGGACTACAATGGGGACTATAGGTAGCGACTGAGGGTCTTTTTGAGTGGCCTCATGGCTTAAACGGTTTAGGATTTAGGGTTCAGGTTTAGGGTTTTGTTTAAGATTCCGGGATAACTGCAGGTCTGGCCGGGGTATGAGAGGTACCAACCGTGCATACAGGGTCAGGGTGACCCGAAACCCTGAACCCGAACGTTAAGCCCTAGGCTGCAAAGCCTTACAAAAAGGAAATGCCTAGCCGGCAAACCCCAAAGGGTCCTAGGTACTGTTATGGGCCCCAAATCATAATAGTACTTCCTCATATAGAAACCCTGCGTTCTACCATACAGGTGCTTAGGACCCTTTGGGAACATCTAGAGACGTCCAGCTGAGGATGTGTCACAGATGGGTGCACTGACCTGGCAGGCCCCCGGACTATACTACTATGCGCTTAAGAACCCCCAAAAAATAAAAAATATATTCCTTATGGGGGTAATATGGGGATTATTATTTTTTTTGGTGGTTTCTTAAGCAAATAGTAGTATATGGTCTTTTCTAAGGGTCCAAAGGACCCAAGAAGTAGGTACTCGGAAAAGGATAGCAGTTATGTAGGTCAGGATTTTGGAAAGTATAGGGCCCAAGAAGTAGGTACTCGGAAAAGGATAGCAGATTTGTAGGTCAGGATTTTGGAAAGTATATGATCATTGGATACGGGGTCTTATCTAAGGGTTTACCAAGGTCTTCCGGGGAGTTGTCTGGGTTTGAAGGCCTTATCCAGGAATGCGCTGCACAGGATTTCCACGAGGTTTTCATTCTTCCGAGTGGGCATTCTATTTGCAACAGAATGAATGACTTACTTGGTCAGAAGGAGAACATGAAGCGTTGTCTCCACTGAAAAGTTTCAATCCTTTTGTCCCGGCCTGGCCTTTCCTTCTTGAAAAAGAGAGACTGAAGTAAAAGGAATACAAGCTGCACTACGTCACAAAGCCCTCTGATCCTAAGACTCTTACAAACGCCCCCCATAGACGATCGACCGGCACACGATGAAAACTGCAAACCTGGGCTCTTGCTAAAGTAGGAAACTGGCTAAGAAACCTTGGGCCTTTATGAGGGTTCCTTATATGAACCCTGCTATTTTGGGGTTATAGGCCCAGGGTTTCTTAATCAGGTACATTAGAGAGTTTATTCTAAGTTACCATAACAGGGGAGCCATATTGTTTACTATAGATCCTTACTATGGTACCTTAAATTAAATCCCTAACAAGACCCCAGAAGCCCCGTGATCCTTGAAGCAATCAGCTGCCGAGCGCCAAGGTCAGCCTCTACAGGAGCACTTGCGCATCAAGTACGGGAGTGTGTCCTGCCCAAATCCAGCACATCCTAGATTGCACGCGTCAGATAGGAACGCATACATATGCATATCTACATATACATCGCCGTCCAGTTGCCTGCATATTTGCAAGCTACTTTGCAACAGCTGCAAAGTGCAGTACTGATGTCGTTCCCTGCTCATGCCAGTTCTTCATGCTGGTTTACATGGTGATCTTCCTCTTCGTCGTCATCGGCATCTTCAATCTCATCATGGCCGTGTCTCCTGGCTGAACTTCGGGACACCACCACCAATGTTTCAGATTAGAGGGAACTCCAGAAAGTTGGAATATGGTTTCATGGTAGGATACCCTATAATTTGCCATAGAAGGGTTAGGATACTTATATTCCAACTTTCTGGCTTTTCCCTTACATCGGGGTACTTGCCAGTCTGCTGCGGGTCGCCAGCAGGCCCAGGGTCCGAGTCGAGCTTGCATTGTTCATTGAAGTAAAAGCCAGAAAGTTGGAATATGATTATCCTAAACCCTTTATGGTAAATTATAGGGTATCCTACCCTGAAACCATATTCCAACTTTCTGGAGTTCCCTGTATACCGCAGGACCCTCGATAGGTCTTTAAAATTGAAGCCATCAGCAGGTTCACGAGCCGGTGAAGTTGCCGTTGAGTACCTGGAACGAAGTTACAAACGTGACAGCTACAGAGTCACCTGCTTGGTGCATTCGTCGGTGGATGCCCTTGTGGGGGTTTCCGAAAACAGGGGTACCTTATTTTGGGGGTCCTTATATTGAGGATCCTACTATTTAGGGTACTATATTAGGGTCCCGTATTTTCGGAAACGCCCAACCCTAAACTCTAAACCATTATAGAAACCCTTAAAGGAACCCTTATAGATCCCTTTAAAGGAACCTTCATATTCATTATTAGGGTCCCCTTTTTTCGGAAACTCCCATGTGAACCCTGCGCTCTCGAGCCTGCCTGGTCACCCCAGCGAAGCGCTTTGTGCAAGAACCTCCCAGACCTTCCAAAATCCCTTAATTAAGGAATATACCTTAAATCATATTAGGGAATTTAAGGTATATTCCTTAATTAAGGGGTTTTGGAAGGTCTGGGAACCTCTGGTACGGAATGCGCGGCCCGCTAAACCCTTGAACCCTACGCCCGACAACCTCGAAACCCAAAAGATCCAGAGCCTAAGCTCCACGTAGTAGCTGAGTGGATACACTTTACACTTTTTCGGGATAATATTATCCATTATGAAAAGGAAAGTTACACTTTTTGGGGCTTATGAACTCAGCAACTAGGCCCAGAAGCCCCCAACCCGAAGCCATCAAGCCATCAGCTCCTGAACGTTACGGTTTCAGGGTTTAGTATACTACAAAGCTCAGGTACTGGACTGCCCGAGAACACCCAGGAAATCCCATGTGACCTCAAAAGCAAATAGGTGAAAACTTTGTACGTTAGAACAGTTCGCAAAACTTAAAAGCTCTGTAGCGCATGATAATGCACCCTAACCCTAAACCCTAAACCCTAAACCCTAAACCCTTGCAGTTTCCAGGTTTCTGGACTCGGTGGTCAGTGACCATGCGACGAGGGAACTCCAGGACAGACCTAGGGTTTGGGAGACAAGGGGAGGGGTGTACACCAGTGTCGTGTGTGTTGGCAACAAACCCTTACGAACGAAGTAGCTATATACGACCTGCTAGGAACCTTGAACATAGGCTAGAAGCATCCAAATCTGGTTCAGAATCTTCTTTACGGGTTGCTGCCGACGACGCTTGATACGGGTTGTCTGCTGTTAGGCGTGCCAGAGTTCTCAACTTGCTCTGTCAAGAACGACGGAACGTTCCTTAACCTTGATAGGCTTCGTATGATATATCTCAACTTATCTCAACCAAAAATATTACAGACCAATCCTTGGTTGGACGAGGCTCAAATGTTTGAGCTTGCTATTTTGGGCGTATATAGTATGGGGGCCTAAACATTGACAATACTATTGTGAGGATTCCTTATTATGAATATAGTATAGTGGGCCCGGAAACCCTGTTCTAATTATTAATGCCCCTATGTAGATCCCTGAAAGTAGCCCTTATAGATTCCTTGAAAGGAGCCCTATTCTACTTATTTAGGCCACTATGTTAGACATGTGCTAGTGGGCATGTCGGTGTTCGTGCTTTCGGGCCGTGCTTTGGTTGGAAGACGTTTGGCTCTGGGATGGGGATTCGGCATCTGATATAGGGGCCTAAATACTGACCTATACTATTTTTGGGGTCTCCTTATTATTACAAATATAGTATAGTATGTCCCCCAAACCCTATTCTAATCATTGAGGCCCCTACATTAGATCGACCCAGCGCCAGCCGTGCAAATGCCCGACCCTCAACCCTTTGAACCGCAAAAGCGTAACCCAGACCCCAAGACAGTAAACATAAACATCCTACACACACCCTAAACCCCAATCTGTAGTGCCATTGCTACAGGAGCTTGGCTACAAGTACGATGAGTTCACGCCTCAGCTTTTATTCTCTTGAGGAGTCTTGCGCATCCAAGAAAGAAAAGCAACAGCAAAGCTCCAAATCCGAGGATGGAGGAGATGATTTCGTGGCTTGGCTCACGCAAAGTTTCCCGCACTCCGGACTCTCCTCCTGCTGAGCGCACTCATAGACTCCAACAGCCCTGTATTCAGGATACACTTTGAGTCATGATGTAAATCCCTGTGTACTTGGCGTCAAGATAAGAAACACGCCACACCTGAGTGAGGGTAATATAGGGGCCTTAATAATTAGAGTAGGGTTTTTTGGGCCCACTATACTGTAATTATATTCAGGAATCCCCAAAATAGTATAGGCAACTATTCAGGCCCCCTACATGAAATTCCTCAATGAAAATGTCGGAGTCTTCGGGCAGGTCCCCTTAGCTGTCATTGCTCCCGCATAGGTCCTCAATATCCCCGGGTTTAGGGTTCAGGGTGTCTCAACTTCTAGGGCATCCCAGTTCAATTTCTGTTACCCAGACCTTCCAAAATCCCTTAACTAAGGAATATACCTCATATCATATTAGGGACCCTATTATAACTTCAGGTATATTCCTTACTTAAGGGAGTTTGGAAGGTCTGGGTAAGTGGCAGGTCCAAAATCAGGGACCTCGCACTATACGGACGTCAAAAGAGTATGGGTCTGTGTTAAGAACCCCTCTATCATGTGCGGTAGGAAGCCCCAAACCCAGATCGAGGTTCATTACAGTGACACAGATAAGAGGCTTCGGAGCTTCTAGGACATGTTTATTCAGGCTATAAACCTTATAAGTACCTTCAAACCCTCTAATAGTTCGAGATTCGTTACAGTTACACGGCTGGTTGTCAAAGTTAGGATCCCTTTTGGGGGTCCTTATTGTAATACGGCACCTATTATTCAGGGTACCCAAAAAGGGACCCAAACTTTGACAACCACCCACAGAGCTGCGAGGCTTCGGAGTTTCTAGGACATGTTTAGACACCCTGCAGAAACGACTACGGAGCCCTTTGAACCCCCCGGGACCCCTAGCGCCTCTAAGCCCCGAGTAACGGCTTAGGATTTAGGGCTGAGGAATTAGTAGTAGTAGTAGTAGTAGTAGTAGTAGTAGTAGTAGTAGTAGTAGTAGTAGTAGTAGTAGTAGTAGTAGTAGTAGTAGTAGTAGTAGTAGTAGTAGTAGTAGTAGTAGTGGGAGTGGTAGTAGTAGTAGTAGTAGTAGCAGTAGTAGCAGTAGTAGCAGTAGTAGTTTTAGTGGCAGTAGTAGTAGTAGTAGTAGTAGTAGTAGTAGTAGTAGTAGTAGTAGTAGTAGTAGTAGTAGTATTAGTAGTAGTAGTAGTAGTAGTAGTAGTGGTAGTGGTAGTGGTAGTGGTAGTCGTAGTAGTAGCAGTAGTAGTAATAGCAATAGGAGTAGCAGAAAAGTAATACAGCCACTGGCTCAGGGTTTAGGGTTTATAGGGGCTACTTCAGGCTATGACACAGGGTTGCGCCCAAACCCGAGCCCCTAAGATTTCTGAAGCCCTGACAAGAACAACGTAACACTGAAGCCGAAAAAAGCTCCGGCCCTGACCACGAGAGCCTAAAGAAAGCTTGTGGGAGTGTCCGGAAATTAGGGGGTACCTTATTTTGGGGGCCCCTACAATAAGTATCCGATAATTTTGGGTACTAGATTAGGGTCCCCTATTTCCGGAAACTCCCGTATCTTTCAGCCTTGAACCATGCACTGTAAAGCTCGTTGCAACCCTATGCAGCGAAGAACCCAGACAGGTCTACAAAAGTGTTTCTAAAGCCTTGAAGGGCCCTTTGTCAAGAGCGTGAACCCTACATCCTACAAAGCTCTGATAGATACAGAACCGTCTTGATGCAGACTGATACAGACAGTGCCATCAGAGTGAGTGAGAGACCTAAGCCCTTAACAGAAGCACTCAGCCCTAAGCCGAAGCACTCAACCCTAAAAGCTAAACTAGCCCGAAACCGCAACCCGACACCCTCAACCTTAACTTAGATCCCCGATACCTAACCTTTAAACTCTGTTTTGGTTCATATAGTTGAGTAGCAATGGGAAAGCTTAACCTTTTGTTTCTGCGGCTTATTGGCGTAGTAAGTCTTAAATCCTTAACCCTAAACCGAGAGCATATCCTTCCTTAATCGGCCTTTTTAGGTCCTTATTATGGGCATTCATGCCCCCGACCCCCCCCACCCCCACCTACCCCCTAAGGGTCCCGAAGCCCTAAGCCTTATGACACACCGAGAGCCTAGCGCCCCAGCCCGACCTGCCTCAGCAACGTCATTGCCACGCTCGCCTCGGGCCGGCGCGTTGAAAAGAAGGACCAGTCGCCAGGCTGAAAAAGGCTCACATTTTGGGTCTATAGGGCTTAGGGAATGGATGTTCGATTTTGGGTCTATAAGGTTTAGGGAATTGTAGGGATGTTTTGGGTCTCGGGATGTTTAGGGACTTTGGGTTTAGGGCTGAGGGATGTTTAGGGTTTAAATAATCGGGCTTTAGGAGTTCGGGTGATTGTAGGGTTGATTCAGCTTGTGAGGTGTTTCAAAGTTGTTTGACGGTGTCAGTTTTTTTAGGGTCCTGTTTCTATGGCCATTGGGGTTTGAAAAGGTTTCACTTCTGCACTATCCTGTTTTGTTTACACGGCTTGTGGGGTGTGTTTGTGGCATTTTAGTAGAATCATGCGGTTTTTGTTGACATAATAGTTTGCCGGCTGACAGAGCGATTCGCTATGAATGAAGATCATTGTGGAGGGTCCGCATTTGCTGTAAGGCCATCGTGCCACGATTTGGTAATTTGAGGTCGACGGTATGGATCGTGATCTTCAGGCCTGTGCTAGGGTCGCTGTTTTCTGAGACTCCCACCGGTATGAAGCCTAGTGCTCTCGAAATATCAAGTCTACATGAGCAGGCTTAACTCTTGGGAAGAGGAGAGAAGAAAAGGAGGACATCGTGCTCGGGGCCCATGCACAGGCGGTACGGCTGAGCCCTCAATGAATCTTCTCTGGAGACCAGACAAGTCAGGGCTTGTGGCCTGTGAGCGTACTCAGGGCCCACGGAAGGCCGGTGTAATCGGTCCCACACCTGGGGCGCCAGGTCAAGGGGGGCATTTTTGCAGGAGTTTGTCGTTGGTGCAATTGAAGTTGCGACCCAGTCGGCGAAGAAAGCCCGGAAGACGACATGTGTGGTGGATGACAATGACATGGGTGGTTGTCAAAAATTAGGGTGCCTTTTGGGGTACCGCAAATATTAGGTGCCGCATTATACTAAGGACCCAGAAAGGGACCATAGTTTTGACAACCGCCCATATAGTAGAATGCAGTGTTTCCATAGTAGGAATTTCTATTATGACCAAGGGCAACAGCAGGTGTTCCTGATGAACCACCACTACACTACTACTCAGTACTATTGCACGACTGCTAGCAGCTAGTATTTTTACTTATAGGAGTTTTCGATAATTAGGGGCATCTGATTTTTGGGTCCCTATAATTTATAAGGATAGACTATGTAGGCTTGTATATTATTGTCCCCTATTTTCGGAAACTCGTTTGTCAGCCTCGCATGTCGGATTTTCCCAGACCCCCAGTCATGCCATGGTATGCCCGTCGTCCTTTTTGTTGAGAGGGGTCTCCTTTATGCGGAACATTTTTCATGATGGGAGCCTGATTGTTGCGACTCTGCTCACGATATCTCTGCAGTTCCTACTACCGAGGTTTGTATGATTAGTGGTAATAGTCCCGTTTGAGCAATGTTTTTCCTGTGGTTCTAGGGGGCTGTTGCAAGGGTTTAGGCGTAACTAGTCATAGTAAGCTTAAGCGCCAAATCCCTAAGTTCTTAACCCTCGAACCCTAAACTGTAGTACGCACTTGTCATCCCTGTATCATTCTGGCTTAATCAGTTTAACCCATTTCGAAGCACTTGCTTCGGTTCGTGAGACTTTGCTTCACTCATTCTTCAGGGTTTCTTGTTTCGGATTTGGGGTTTGGGATTCCTTTTGGTGTTTCTCTTCAGCAGTCTTTCCGGGGGTTGCTTAGGATTCTTGTTTGAGTTCGCAGTTCTTTGGCGGATCGCCTCCGTCGTTCGGATAGTATGACCATGATTAGCATTCGTCTTCCCATTAGGGTTCCTTGAAGGGTTCTGTCGGGATAATGTGTGACAAATAGTACGAGGATAATAGACACCGCAAGACTCTCGAGCGCCAAGGGCGAAGACCTTCTGCAGCTGGATCTGTGGCACACTCGGTTGCCACGTCGGGGTTTCGTCTCCGGCTGCAGGCTTCTAAGAGCAAGGGCGCTCCATTGCAGGGTTACAGATCCTAGTACTGGGATCAAGATTGGTTCTGCATTTTCGAATCTCGTCTGAAAGCAGGATGGCCGTTGCATGTAGCTCTCCGAGTGCCCGGCACGATTCCACCCACAGCTTGTCACAGTTGTGCCAAGGTAGCCTTTGCGTGAGGCCTGCTGCTAGTTGCGTGGGGCATCAGGGGGATTTCCTAAGTACGTCACATGCTAGGCTTTGAAGACGACGAGGGCAACTCCCCAATTCGGGTCTACAGTTTATGTTATTAAGAAACCTTGGTACAACCCACATCCTTCATTCGGGGATGCATTAAGTACTGGCAGTCGCCCGCATCAGATCTTGCGCTGAAAACTCCGTAGCCCTGAACACACAGAAGATGTCGGCGTTGTGCTCGCGAGCCTCAATCCCTCAACTTCCTGAACCTTAAACCTTAAGCCCACACGGGTGGTTGTCAAAATTAGGGTCCCTTTCTGGGTCCCTATTATAATACGGCACCTAGTATGTAGGGTACCCAAAAAGGGACCTTAATTTTTGACAACTAGTCACACGGACCCACACCCTAAACCCTAAAAGCCCACACCCTCAACCCGCAAGCCGAATCCCTAAACTCCTAAACCCTGAGCTTAGTACCTAGACCCCCCAACTACCCCCTAATATACCCTTAAGTACCCACTATTAAGGGCCACAAGGGGCTCCATTAAAGGGCCATTGGGCGGTCCTGGTAGTTAGCTGAGTGGATACACTTTACACTTTTTGGGATCATATTACCCATAATGAAACGGAAAGTGTACACTTTGGGGGGGGCTTATGAACTCAGCAACTAAGTAAACCCTAAAACTCCTAAACCCCATGACCCTCAAAAACCCAAAGCCGAAACGCTACACTTCCCACTCCAAAGTCAAGGGCCTCAAAAGGTAGGATGAAGGTAGGTGCGGTAATTCCCAAATAAGAGTCCTTATATAGGGGATCCTTAATCCTACCTGCCTTCCTCCCACCTTTGGAGGCCCAGGGGAGTTAGTAAGTAGCCTATAAGTAGGGTTATAATTGGGGTAGCTCCATTTGGGATACTTATATCCCTACTTATAACCTACTTACTAAGTTCCCTGGGCCTCTAAGTAGTTGTCCTTGCCCACAGGCTCTGTTAAACCCTAAACTCCTAAACCCCCAAACCCTCAAAAGCCCAAAGCCGAAACGCTACGTGGAGGCCCAGGGGACTTAGTAAGTAGCCTATAAGTAGGGTTATAATTGGGGTAACTCAATTTGGGGTACTTATATCCCTACTTATAACCTACTTACTAAGTCCCCTTGGGCCTCCAATTACTTCCCGCTCCGAAGCCACGGAATGTTTGCGGGGAGGCCGAGCCATGCTCTGAAGAAGAGCATGCGATTGAACGTGCACAAGGAGATGAACAAACAGGCTCCTTATTGCTATTATTATTATTGTTATTATTATTGTTAAGGTTGTTTTATTATATTATTATTATTATTGTAGGGGCCTTAATAATTAAAATGGGGTTTTGGCGGCAGGGAGGATAGCGTTGTAGTGGGCTTAGATGCGTGTAGGTATGCCCGTATTGTGCCAGCACAAACTGATTGAGTTAGCTATCTTTCCATCTGGCTCTCTCCGTTTATCTGTTTATCTGTTTCCCTGTCCGTCTGTATGACTGCCTGCCTGCCTGCCTGTGGATACACATAATTGAAGTCAGGGGGGCTGTGGGATTGTGTTTTGCAGTAATGTACGTGAGCGTGTAGTTGTGTGTGCATATAATGCAAATAGTAAGCACGCGTACACGACGGTTGCGAGAAAGCATCCTCGTGGTTGGTTGTGTGAAGGGTTTAGGGCTGCCCCACACACTAAACCCTAAATAAACCCAGGGCTTCTGTAGTTTCAACAGGGGTTGCTGGACTTGGGAGGGTCGAAACCTGCATGCAAGGTGGCAGTGACAAGGGATGAGTTCAACCGATGGCTGCAATATCCAGCCGCTCGGACTGGCACAGCTGAGGGTTTTTTATATCTGAGACTTGCGCTCAAGACATAATAATAATAACAATAATAATAACAATAATAGTAATAGCAAGAAGGTTTGTCAGACATCCCAGATCTCCGACACAAGCCGACAGTCAAGTAAGGGTCTCGGGTTCAATTGAATCCAAAAGCCCGCCTAGACCTACACTCCAGATGTAATTTACCCACACCAGCGAACCGAAGCTCTTAAGCCCATTCATGCTACACTGCTCGCGCCAGAAAGCAGACGGGATTTCAATGCCTGACTCCCTTGAACCTGTTAACGCGCTCTACTTCGGCACGATCGCACGATAAGCTATCTGGTATGCCCAAGACCCCTAGACCCACAACAGCCCTACACCCTAGAGCCCTAGATAAACCCAAAAGCCCGACCTCGAAATGTTTAACCCCATTTCTGGGAGAGCTCAAGGAAATGCAAGAGTTGCTGACGTTCTGCAAGATCGAGCTGCTCAGACTCAGAAGAGCAGCAGTTGAAGGGATGTTCATGGCTTTAGGGTTTAAAGGTCTTAGGCTTTTTGGTTTTCTGGGTTTTGGTTTTTTTGTTATATGAGGTCTAGAGGTTCAGAGTTTTTGCGTTCATGGTTCAGGGTCGTTGTTGGTTCGAAAACTGTTGCCTGTTTGGGGGCTGACGGGCTTCCTTTCCGGATGTATTCTCCGTTTAAGGTTCCGTCTACGACACAAGTAGAGTGTGGTTGGTTAAGGTATCATGGGTTCAGGGAGAGGTATATTGAATTCAAGGTACTGCCAGGGATGAAGAGTTTCGGGCCTAGGGGTTCGGAACATAGGTTGTACACGATTGCTTTAAAGCTTCTCGGCTTTATGGCGTTTAAGGTGTATCGTTCAGGGTTTCGGAGGGCTGATGAGGTAGCATTCTAGCGGCAGCACGGTTCTCATCTTTCTTGAACCGCAAAGCTGTATAGAAACAGAATCCAGATTCCGGCAAACCCACGCGCACAACGCCCAAATCAGGATTAATACTCGGAGTCCAGGGCTATTGGCGTTTTGGGGTTTAGGATCTCTGAGGGTTTGGTGTGACTGGTTTAGTCATCCAGAGTGATTTGTATTGTACGTAGGTATCAGAGTTTGCGGGTTGAGGAGGGTTTTTTTGTTCGGCTCAGTGTCGGCAGGAATGCGGCGAAAATTGTTGTCGTTTTACTCCGGGGGAGGGGAGGGAGAACTTTGCTCACTCACCAAGGACGGCGACAAAGTTTGCGTCTTGGCCGCAAAGCCCTTCCCCTACGTAAATAGTACATTGGCCGTAAAGTAGTCCCTATATAGGGACTATATAGTATATACTATTTGGGTACATGGACCCTTAAACTACAGAACCCTAATAGAACCTTACCATAACCCCTAAAGGAACCCTTAAAGGAACCTCCAGTTGGGTACATGGACCCTTAGGGTTCTGCAAACCCCATCCCGATTCACCAGAAGTCAACGAGTCAGCTTTCAGTCGGCTCTCAGTTCAAAGGTACACACCGAGACCTTCCAAAATCCCATAATTAAGGAATATGCCTTAAATCATAGTAGGGTTTAGGGTTTAGGGTTTAGGGTGGATCCCTAATATGATTTAAGGTGTATTCCTTAATTAAGGGATTTTGGAAGGTCTGGACAGGGGTCCCTGCGACCACAGAAACGTGAATACTAACCTAGGAACCTGATTAAGAAACCCCTGGCCCTAGAGCCGGATTCATATAAGGAACCCTAATAAAGGCCCATGGTTTCTTTATATAAGGCTCTTACATTAGGATCACACACGCAGGGTTTTTACCATCCTTCGTTCCAGCGGTACCAATCGCGGGATCCTGAAGGAGGAGTTTATGGGACATAAACCGCAAACCAGGCACCTTCGAAGGAATCTATTGCGAAAGTAGCCCCGCACTAGAAACACTAGAAGGAAGGGTGGCTCGCAGGGTCCAGCCGAGTTCAAGTTACCCTGCAGTCCGTCAGACGGCTTGCGAAGTTTAAGATGCGTAGAACTGTAGCGCTTGTCTTTGCAAGGATCCGGCATTAGGTGTTTTGCCAGGAGTCGAGGTTCCCCCTACTCCTATATACTCCTGCTCCTACTGCTACTGCTACTCGTACTCCTTCTGCTACTCCCCCTCCTCCTCCTACTCCTACGCTTACAAGGATCTCTTCGACGTTCTGGATGCGGACCTCGGAGGTCAGCTACACTTCAATGAGACCCTCGGGTTGCAACGCAACTGCTAGGAATACCAGGGGGGTCTGGGGCTGATGTCTGTGTTCAACAGGTGTGGTGGATTTCTATGGGTTCCTATGCGGTTCATAGGGTTTCAGATGGACATGTCAACCGGGGTGCTGGCTAGTCTAGAGGTTCTGCCTCTCTTATGACTTGTGATGCTGTGTGTACATCAAAACTTGATGTGCCATTCCCGAACCAAGTACTCCCAGAAGGTCCAAGGTCTCAGCATGCCCTAAGCCTAAGCTCTGACCGGGAGCGGAAAAACTATAGCCTTCAAATGGGTGGTTGTCAAAACTATGGTCCCTTTTTGGGTCCCTATTGTAATACGGCACCTATTATTTGGGGTACCCAAAAAGGAACCATAATTTTGACAACCACTCAAATGCTAAACCCCTTTGATGCAAAAGGACGGGGTATCGCACTCCAAAGCGACCCGATCCCTGAAATCCTCAATCTTGCCCTAGTGTTTAGGCTATAGGCCACCCATAGGCCGCACAGTAGCTCCTTTTGGGAAACCTTATAGATTTCTCATTATGAATCCCAAACAGCAACTACTATGGGGCCTATGGGTAACGTAGCAAGCGAACAAAGTAAACTGGTGACACTAAGCCGTTCGAGCCCCACGCCGTTCTCGAACCCTCATTGAGCCTGATAGAAACTTTAGATCCCCCCATACCTAACCTTTAAACCTTTTTGGGTTCTTATAGCTTAGTAGGAGTTGGAAAGTTTAACCTTGTATTTCTCTGGCTTATTGGGCCGGGTAGTAAGAAACTGTACAAGCACCTCTGAGCCCGATTCCCCACAGGTACCTGTGAAGGCACCTTGCCTGGATCCTTGTAAGAAGGATCCTACTCTTCAGGGTTCTCTCTCAGGGTCCGCTATTTCCCGATTTTCGACAACTCCCATACGGTCAGATGCTATAGGCAACCTCCTTACTGCATTCATATAGAGCCCCAGCTATTTGCCATAGTTAGAGCATATCGAACAAAGCATCAAACCATGTTCGACTACTTAGGCCACTATGGCAACAGCTGAGGCGAGTCGTAACCCTTGTAGAAACCTTTATAGGATCGTTCTGGGAGTCCCAAACCCGAAAAGTCCACAACAGCCGAGGCTGGTCGAAGGCTTGATGCAACTGAGAGGACCGATTACGAAGTGCGACGTGATATCCCTGCGCTGCTTGGGCCGCAGGGTCGGGCTTTTCTATCTCTTGAGGAGGAGGGCTAGGGTGTCGGGTTTAGGGGGGGCTTTGGCGGAGGCGGTTCTTCAGGGTTTGGGTTTATTTAGGGATGGGGGGGTTAGATTTGATAGGGTTCGGGTTTCGTGGTGTCGGCATCTATGTATGCTTGTTTATGCGACTTTGCGGGTTTTAGGGGGATTGAGGGTTTGGATACTTTTGGGATATGCGCGGTTCCTTTTTTTCTATGTGGGATTTGAGAAAATCAAACCTTGACCATCCAAGCCAGACACCCGAAAATAGCATCCTGGTGTCAGAAAGCCATCAAAAGGATCCTTGAATCAGAGTGGTAGTTGTTAGGTACTGCCCCCATACAGTAAGAGTCTATAATAGGGCTAGTATTAAGGTCCTAATATGTCTATATTATGAATATTATTCAACTTTTACTGAGTGGGGGCCGTACCCAAGGTAGTTGTCAAAATTGGGGTTCCTTTTTGGGTCCCTGAAATATTAGGTGCCGTATAATGATAAGGACCCAAGAGGGACCCTAATATTGACATAATGCAGGAAGCTGAGTAAGAAACCCTGGGCCTAGAACCCCGAAGTCGTAGGATTTAGATAAGGAGCCTTAATAAAGGCCCAAGGTTTCTTAATCAGGTTCCTACATTACTTTCATATCGGTCCTTTTGGTGCTTTGCCTCATTGTGAGCCCTCAATTAAGCCCTCAACCAGCATACAAACCCTTCGAGCACGATGGACAGAAGTCGATGCCTCATTATGAGCGGAAGCCTCGTAGGCGGGATTTGGGGTTCCTGAAACTTCTTAAAAGGGACCTTATTGAGAGGGTCTATATCCCCGAGGGTCCCCCTAATCCTAACTCCCATATAAGCCTTACAAAACCTGAACGGCTTCGGAAGAAGTCATCGAGGCCTCATGGCTCATAATGTTGACCCCTGATTAATAAACCCGCCCCCCGCCCCCCCCCCTCAAGGTTGTCAAGGTCGCAGGCCCCCCACAGGATCACAGACCCCCAAATAATCCCGTGAAGCCAAATTGCAGTAAACAGTGGTGCTAGTAGTAGTAGTCGTAGTAGCAGCAGTAGTAGCAGTGGCAGTAGCCCCTTGAAAGAACCGCTTGAAGGGGACAAGACGCCCTTTAAATGTAGTCTTGCCCCCTTTAAAAGTAGTCTTCGAAGCACTTTTTGAAATTTTAGATCCCCAGACGGTGTTGCCTTTAATCGTGGGGGGTTTTCTGCAAAAAACGATCCTTATTTGGGTGCTGCCTTTAAAGTAGTACAGATTTGGGCCGGAGCCGCCCGCAGGCCGCCTTTAATCGTAGGGGGATTATTAATCCTAGGTCAACATTAAGGCGCAAAACCCCAGACCCCCAAACCCCAAAAGTACCCTGAATAGTAGGATCCTTGTTATACGGATCCCTAAATAAGGTACCCCTATTTTCGGAAACTCCCATATGGAACCCTGAGCCCTAGACCCTAGGCATCATGACCTTATTGAACCCTGCTCAAAAGGAACCTTAAACCCCTGGGCCTCAAGATTGCCCCCAAAACGCCTAAACGCCCCTAAAGACCCTAAAACCCCTCAAAGCCTGAAAGCCCCGAAACCCCCCAAAACCCACTACAGGCCTGTAACCCCTAACACCCAAAAATCCCGGAAAACCCCTTAAAACCACTAAACCCTAAAAGCCCAAAAGCCCCCCTACAGGCCTCATGATGAGCAACCTCCTCCGCAGCGTGATGCGCATCGTCGAAGCCCGTGACACGCCTAGCCCGGAGCTCACAGCTGAGGTTCTTTGTTTTTTGGTACTGCTGAGTTTTCTTCTTGGTCTAGGGTTGTAGGTTCACCTATGTGTTTTTGTTTCTTTGTTGGGCTGAATATTTGGGGTTTAGGGCTTAGGGTTTCAGGGTTTAGTTATTATTTGTTTTTGATTATATGTCGGTGAGGCGGATGGGTTTTAGTCATAAGACGGGTCTTCCAGGAGGTCTTCGTTTTTGTGTTGGGCCCTTGCTGTCCAAAGGGATCCTCCTAGAACAGGCAAGAGCGGGGCGTCAATACTTATAAATACTATTTTGGTGGTTCCATATTATAACTATAGTATAATGGGCCCCAAAACCCTATTCTAATTATTGAGGCCCCTACAGTACATGGTTGGCTAGCTTATTGTTCAGGGATCTACAGCTTGTTTCAGGGTTTGGGGTTTGTGATTGTCATGTTGTCAAAATTATGGTCCCTTTTTGGGTACCCTAAATATATTGTAATAAGGACCAAAAAAAGGGACCCTAATTCTGACGACCACCCATGTGGCCTTGTGATTTTATGTTGAGAGGTTATAAATAAATAAACAAATGTGTATATATATATATATATACCCAGCCGAAGCTTTTTGCCTACCGTTTCAGCGTAGAGCAGTACCTGCACCCCAAAAGTATGTAGAATAATACCCTTTTATAGGTTTTGGGCCATTATTTTACCTTCTTTTGGGGGTCTAGGTAGGGTTCAGGGTGTTGTGCTTTGTAATGAGACTAGGCGGACATACTATACGGGGTACCCAGACAGCTTTTAATGTGTTGGCCCTTGAAGGATGTTGAGGGCTTTTTCGGCTGTGGGATTTGGGCTTGAGGGTTTAGGGTTTAGGGGTTTAGGGTTTTAGGGTGTAGGGGTTTAGGGGTTTAGGGTTTAGGGGTTTAGAGGTTTAGGGTCTAGGGGTTTAGAGGTTTAGGGTTTAGGGTTTGCGGCTTCGGTTCCACGAACCTTTTTCGCGGGACTTGCAAGGGACGCTGCCGAAATTTTAAGCCGCATTTCAGAGATGATTTCTGTTTTTTTTAGGGGGGGGAGGGGGGGGGGCATTGCAATAAGTATAGTTAAAGGGATACCTCAGCGATCCGAAGCCCATAGACGTTCCATTTCGGAAAAATCCGGGCACAGTCTACGCTTCGAGAGGGCTTCATGATATTTGTACAGTGTGCTACTATAGAGCTCGTGTCATACTTCCACAACGTTCAGAGGTTCTTCCAAGCAGGGTCATGCTTGCTGCTTTTGGAATGTCTGAATACGCACACATCTGAGTATCATTTATGAGTAGCCGTGGACCATGTCTGTCATAAGCCTTCAAGTCCAATCTTAACACCATGCCATCATGGCACAGGCACACAGACCCTAAGCCTAAAGCACTCCGAGTGCTTCCTTCGGGCGACGCATGCTCGAAGGTCGTGTCGTCCGCTAGAGCTCGCAGCACACCAGTGGCGGCCTAGACAGGTGCCGGGTTCTTGTGGACTGGGGTTCAAAAGAGGGGGCCGAAATACCAATGCTATTTTTGGTGGTTCCTGATAATCAGTATAGTATAATGGGCCCCAAAACCCCAAACCCTATTATGATTGTTAAAGCAGAGTGATGTCCACTTACTCGGATCCAAGGTTGATAGGGCCTCAATTTAAGCAACCTAGGTCGTGGACTGTGGTTGGATGATTCCTGCACCCAGTAACCGACATCATCACAGTCACGGTCATCATCACCATCATCGGCATCAACATCAACATCATCATCATCATCATCATGCTCATCACATCGTCGTCATCATGTTCATCATTGCACAAGGGTTAGTTGAGCCCGCAGAACTAGCAGCAACTGTGAAGAGATCCTTGCTAGTTCAAACCATGGCAGTGCTCCAAGCAGGGCTGCATGGACTTGCAACTTCTTATTGTCTTTTGACTAACAGTGCCAGACCTTTTGGGGACGGCACCAAAATCGATCGGAATGGTGATCACTATGATCTACTGCCCAAGTGCAACAGTTAAGTAGTGCAAATACTGGTAGGAACAAATTGTTTGTACAGAGAGAACCACGGCATGAACAATTCAAAGTAGCGATTTTGTAAAGAACAGACATGATTATGAGACGATCAAAAGCTCCGTGCTCTAGATCCGAATGCTACTGCTCAGCAGAAAGCCGTCCTTTCAACGGTTCTTCTTTTTGCTGAACAGAAGAACCCAGACCTTCCAAAACCCCTGAACTAAGGAATGTACCTTAAATCATATTAGGGACCCTACTATAGTTTAAGGCATATTCCTTCATTGAGGGGTTTTGGAAGGGCTGGGAACTTCGACGATACGGCCCCGAGCCCCGAAAGTCTGAACCTGAAGTCCTCCAGCGTGAACCCCCAGACCCTGCTTGGGGGGTCGGGGGACTTAGTAGTTAGTAAGTAGACTTATAAGAACCCTAAAAGGGACCCTCATTGGGGTTATGATACTTATAAGTCCCTAAAATAACCAGTTACTAAGTCCCCCGACCCCGAAGCCTATCGCCAGGGCTGAGGGTTTATAGGGTTTACGAGCCCTGAACCCTACATCGCCAGGGCTGAGGGTTTATAGGGTTTACGAGCCCTGAACCCTATATCGCCAGGGTTTAGGATTTAGGCTTTGCGGAAAACCCCCCTCTCTAAAGCCGCAAGCGAGAAGCCCCAGCCACAGGTTTCCAATCCGTCGGGCGGGGGCAGACCGGTAGCGGGCCGAAGCCTAACGCACATGCAGCACCAGGGTTCAGGATGTAGGGGCCTTGATAGCCTGAATAGTTTTTTTGGTATAGTATACTGTTACTATGATAGCCATCAGAATAAGTAACCCTACAGAGACTGATATTGAATTTATTCAGGCTTCTATCAGAGGTTTTGGGGTAAAGTACTTAGAGGCATTAGCTATATGAAGACCTACCCAGTTACCAGTGGCCATTTCTCACCTAAAGCCCTCGTGCCTGACCTTAAAGAAACCTATGCCCAGAGCACCATTCGGATACGTAGTATCTACTTGTTCGAAGCCTTAATAGATGGTTTTGATAAAAAGAAACCTCTTGGTAGCATCTACTTTTTCAAAGCCTTTCATCCTATTAGTATCTACTTTTTCGATGCCTTTAACTTTCTCCCCACGGCCTCCAAGGACCGTATAGTTAGGGCCGTAGACCCCTTAGGGAGCCAATAATGAATACGGTCCCTGGAAGCCTAGGGCTCTGCATGAAGCTCTGAAACCCTGGTGCTGCTTGAGAAGCCGAGTTGTGACTTCTGCCCTCCTGGGCTGCTGGACTTTCGAGCTTCGGATTGTAGTAATACTGTTATTGAATCCCTATATGAATATAACTGTAAACAAATAAGTATATGTATATATATAACTAAAAAACAAATATATATATATATATATATATATATATATAGCTATTCTATAGTAGTAGAGTAATACTACCCCTCTAGAGTCCCTACCTTAAGCAGCTATTTTATATATAGTTACATAAGGGTACAGCGGATTATGGAGGCTTGAACAAGTAGTGATGCTACTCCCATAAAACCCTTAAATTGCTAATGAATATTATACCTCTCCACTGCGAAGGAGACAAAAGCATGGTAAATTCTTAAGACTCTAAACATATTGGGGAAAAAATATTTTTCCCCAATATGTTTAGGTCTAGTGGGCATTGGGTCTGTGTGGTTTTAACGGTTTTGGGGGGGCCTCGGGGGACTCAGAGGCTCGATGGTTTGGGGATGAAGAGGAACTTCGGGTCTAGGGGTTTAGGCTCCCAGTAGGACTGCCTTCTTCGCTTTGTGGCTGTTCATGATGTTTGGATAAGACTGAGTAGTGGGGAAAAAATTGCAAAAATCCGAATCCAACTCATGCCCAAACCCTGAACTCCAAAACCCTGAACGAACCTTTGCAGAACCGCCCGAAGCGCGCAAGTCATGCAGACCATGGGGGCTAGCAGGACGTGACACTTCGGAGCCAGCGCAGTGCGCTGTGCGGTTCTTCACCTCTACTGACAATTCTCTAAATTAGGGTCCCTTACGGGCGAGGGGTCAGTAAGAAGCCCATTGCTGAAATAACAAAGATCGCACAGGTGGAGTCCGTAGTTTGTGGATTACAGAATACAGGGCTCAAAAATGAATGAAGTCGCCCTGGGAACCCTATCTCCGGCTGCTCGGAAGGATCAAAGGGGGCTTCGTTACTTGTATGTGGAGAGCCTAAACCCGAACCCTAAGGGTCCAAGTGCTCACTATTATGGGGGCTTTGGGGCCTTTTTAGGTACCAAAATTCATAACCAAGCACTACTTGGACCCTTAGGGGAAGCCCTAGTCGGTTCACCATTACTCCTAGCACGTGCCCAAACGGCAGGCGTCAGACCACACGCTTCCACCAATCTTAAGTATTCACGTTGAGTTAAAAACTGAAGCGCTCTTGGCAAAACTTAAATGAACCGCTTGTCAGTCCTTCCAAGCAATCCTAGAACCCTCCCTGCAAACCTTTAAACGAAACCGAAACATCCCACACTATCATCCCTCAAGAAGCTTTCATATCGAGGCCTCAATAGTTACCTATACGTAATTGGGGGTTCCTTATTGTGATTATAGTATAGTGGGGCCCAAAAAACGATATTCTTTTTGGTAAGGCCCCGATATTAATACACCGGCTCCGATCTCTTTGAACCTCCAAGCGCCCATGTGAAAATGCTCCGCTGTCGAGTCGTCATCATCGTTTGCCTACCAGGCGGGCGTCTCCGACTTCTGCAAAAGGAAAATCTCTACTTATAGCCCTAAACCCCTGTAGATCCTTTACAGGATCCCTTATATCCCATGAAGGATCCCCTATAACCCTTAAACCCCTACTTGGAGGTGAAGGGGACTTAGTAAGTAGGTTAAGGTAGGGTTATAATTGGGGTACTCCATTTAGGGTACTTATAACCCTACTTATAACCTACTTACTAGTCCCCTGGGCCTCTAAGTAGGGCCCCCAATGGCACCTTGATGTCGCGTTAGTGTGGGGTTGTCCCTTTACTCTGAATAGCTTGACAATAGGACCCCTTGCATATATGGGGACAACGGCTGATTAAACGGATATCCACCCAGTCTGGTGTCGTTGTCAGAGGACGAAGCGTGTTTACACCAGTACCCAAGCAAGTACATGACATTGAAGGTCCGACCCACTAGATTACATTCTGCTACATGCCAGTGTGCTCCAGATTTATTACTCCGTTACCTCATGTTTCATGACATCGCAATGCTTACGTGCACGACACTAGAGTACATTACATCAAGAAAGATGTTGTCGAGTTACACGTCGTATATACATGTCGCTGCACTGCAGGCTCATGCATTACGTTGCATCGTCGTCATTACATGACACTGCATGGCGTTACATAGCGCTGCATGTCATTTTGCAGCAATTTGCTGCGGCTTATGACACCTTACATCACATGTTTTGCAACATGTGGCTGCATCGCATTGTATTAGCTTCCCTGTATCCTTACACTACACCAACTTATGGTGCAATACAATACTGTACAACAGCAATGCACTACAACAAGGCCCAATTCAGTATTCACTGTGTCATGTACAGAGCAACTTGCACGAGACTACATAATAACTCAAACTACAGGACAATATGCACCAAACTATACATTACAACATGCAGCGGAGTGTTCAATACACGCTGTGCAACCCCTTGCAGCTCATTCAGAACCGGACAACGCAGTGCAGTAGAATATACACTCATGCAGACTAGAATCCTTGCATGCATCATGCATGCATACGTACGTGCGTGCGTACGTCCGATATGCATTCGAGAGGAGAATCCCGCCCGCAGAGGTATCCCTTGGTGTTGCCTTCGTTGAACCGTAAATGCATCCCAGCTGGGCGACAAGTCTGGAAGGCTATGCTTGTGATGGTTATCAAATACATCAATACAAGTCACCAGTACTTTGGCGTTGCTGCTTTCAATATTCACACATTTTCTCTGGTCAATAGCACTCAGGACCTGTCGAAGTCTCCCAGCACCTGTCTCATTGCCGTTCAGCGGCATGCATCCTGCACCAGATTCTTGCTAAGCAAGGCTGTGCAGCGGTCTTCCTACATTCTCGACTGTATATACCCCAGAGAGCCCAAGACCTCAGAAGCAAGGAATAAACAGCCCCCCTAGCTTTTCTCAACATATCGCATAATTTCGTCGGTAGTACGTATTTTTGGTTGAGAGAGAGACAACCAGGAAGTTCCGTATGGGTCATGTTTCATTCTCATAAAGCTATGTTATCGTATAAGCACACGCGAAAACGGACCTATGTTTTGTTTGGGTCTGAGCGGTTTAGAAGGCAGTCCGGGTTGTTCTGGCTGTTGTCCTTTGGGAAGCTCTGCGAAACTCTAAACCCTAGCCCTATACACCGCAAACCAAGAAAAGCCAGACCCCAAAACCCAAA